CTCTTGTTAGCTTCATTACGTATGACATGGCTACCCACTATCATGGTAAAAATAAAAATTTCAATCATTAACACCGATCTAATAATAAGCATCAACCACACAGCATTCAAAGAAACGAATTTGTTTACTTCTTTATTCCTTCCTAACAAAACTATTAGACTACAATTTTACATGTTAAGCAAAATATGGTGCTTTGGAAAATAGAACTTTAATTTTCATACTTTCTTAGAAAAAGCTGCTATTTTTATTACAGGTTTTCCGACTAATTTCGATGCTTTTTCAGTCCATTTGATAAAACGTTCATTCAATAGGCCATTTTCGTAATGTCATCAGATTTAATGCATAAGTTTTGGTTAGGTGCCTCATTACGAATTATTGCATTTACCTGTTACAAACAAATGTGTTTCAAGAGCCAGAATTCAAACTTCATACATAAGTCGTTACTAGGTAGGACAAATGTTGACTTGCTGACCTACCTAACAACACAAAATAGGACAATAAATTAGATAGGTAAATTTGCGAAATTGGCCGGAAAACCCATGACATAATTAGCAACCTTTTATACACGTACATATAGCTCCGTTTAGTCTCATTTGAGAACGCCCCCTAGCGGCAGAGTCCAGCTGCCTAACATGTACTTTAGCGTATGGACTTTTACTCACACAAAAAAAATCGTTAACAATTCTTTTTTTGTTTAAACGAAAGCACATCCACCTCGACATCCACCTCGACATCCACCTCGACGCTTAAATATCTACTTATATAACTATAAAATCTTAAATAAACGCTGTTTGGGAAGAATTATTGCCGACGGGGGGGGGGGGGTGGAGATAGTGGTATCTTGGTTCGTACATATTCATTTTTTTTGTATACTTGTGTTCTTGTTTTTTTTTTTTTGTGTTTTTTTTATATTTCATATGTTATGATATGTGTTATGTTATAATTGTACATGTAATTTTTATATTGCGCATGGACCTACAGAAGAACAGCCTTTGGCTGAAGGTGGTGCCGTACGAAAATTAATAAACTAAACTGAAAATGAAATGAACGTACGTTATCACTATTTTTATTGTCATGGTAATAAGACTCCACGTTTTATTATTATTATTATCATTATTTATTCGGCAATTCACAAGAAATATAACGATGTGAATATGAGTAAACAAACATTACGAGAATGTCAATTATAAATGCACAATCTACCTGGAGGTCTATTGAGTGTATCAGTTGGCTGCCGGGGAAGAGGAAAGCAAACTTAATCACTGTAACCTAATGGTTCCTCTTCCCGACCAACTGGTGCACCCAGAAGACCTGCAAAATATAGCATGAAGGTAATAGAATGTATTGCATTTCATTAAAAACAGCTAACAAAGACAAGGCACAAGAGGAAATCAATTGTTTTATTTATTTTTTGTTTTTTGATGACACTAGGTCATGACACGATACTAAACATAAACATGAGGAATTAATTCTGACTTAAAAACTATTGCATGAAATGTCAAGTTGGTAAACTGAAACCATGTAGTATAAAACTGAGAAAAGAACAAAATATGAGAACATGTAGTAGCGCAATGACAAGAATGTCTAAAATCATACAGGATGACCGGTATATAGAAGTTTAAAAAACATGGTATAGGAAGTAAATATAAACATAGGCTTAGTAGGCTTCAGGCGAATAATTAAAGACACTAGGAGAACGAATACATTAAAGAAAAAATACTTCATATTTTATATTATAGTATACAAACAATTTATAAAGAAACTCCGTTGAAAATATCCAGAAGATGTTTAAAGACTGGAGAAAAAAAAGACTCCAGAGACAAAACAATGATTAAATCAAAATTATAGTTTCGGCTCAGAAATGTTATAGAGAAGTAGACAAATAAATGCATATGGAAACGTTGTATCATCCGCTCAATCTAACTTGCGTGCATAGAACAAATAAGCATTTTTCCATGAAAAAGTGAAGTTTTCTAAAATGTGCGTTTCTTTCCAGCATTGGGGCGCCCGGAAGTCACTCGGGTAACATTTCATAAAGTATAATATAAAAAGACCATATGCAAATTTTCTGTACTTTTGTCGGAAAAAATACATTTATCCAGCACAATGTCGTCTCTTTTTGCGTTGGAAAAGAGCAAATAGCGAGTTTCAATCACACTTTGGCCTCTCTCGCAAGCTCTCACTGGTTTCACTGTGGTCAAACGACTTTGGGGCAAGCGGTTAATGAAAATAGTAATCGTTAGCTTTCTTCTGGTATTAAACTTGTTTTGATTGATTGTATAATTTTGTCGGAATAAAGGAAACAAAAAGGCTCGACCAATAACTTATCAGTGTCTGAATTGACCTTTTGACCTTGAATTCCCTGATGCAGGCGCACTAATGACGTCATCTTCGCTAAATCGGCGTCTTTTATCGTAAAATGTGACACTTTCACAATGTTTATACATCTTTTTTTTTTAACTATTAGTGAGATTTAACATATTTTTTCGGATATCAATGAAGTTTTGGGTTTTTATTTAATGATTTATTTTAAAATGAGAGCCATTTTACTGTTTTAATTTACTAGATCGTACCATAAAAGTCGCAGGGTAGAAAGCTGCATTTTCCAACCGCGCCAAATTTAATTTACATTCCGACATTCTGTTTAAAGGTAAAGACCAGTATTGGAAACGCCCCTATTTCAAAAAATGAAATGGAAGCTCTCATTACCAATCATGTGAAAGAATATGTTTTAACCAATACATGATGATACAAAATTTGCCGGGAAACCGCCTACTAATTCATATATTTGGTAAATTTGTTTCTCTCATAGTCTGTGAGAGATATAGGGTAGTCCCATATACATCTTTCTGTGTACAGTGCTTGTAACTTAACGAAGAATGGGCCAAATTTCTTATCATTTTGATGATTTCAGAACCTTGCAGATGCTAGATGCTAGATGATCAATCTTTTCTGATCGATTCCACAACGTTTCTTTCACAATGCAATCGCATGACCATAACTGGTCTTTACCTTTAATGGGTTCGTGTTGTTAAGAATCCACTGCTTTTTGCTCCAACAAACGTTCACATGCGGAGTCGTTTATCAACTAAATTATTCAAATTTATGGATGCTTCCTAGCTTCCCAGGTATTTGTGTTGCTGTTGAAGCATTGCATTCAACTGCTATCATTCTTTGTACTCCATTTGCCAGAACACAAATTTCATTTTGGTTTTATAGTTTCATCGGAGTCGTTTATCAACTATATGTATTCAAATTTATGAATGCTTCCTCCCCAGGTGTTTGTGGTGTTTATGCATTTCATTCACCTGTTATTATTCTTTGTACTCCAATTGTTAGAATACAAAATGCATTTTGGTTTTATGGTTTCATGCAATAAGTAAGTCAATAAAAGAGTATGTTCTGCACAATAAAACAATGTGTGTCCCTATTGTACAATGTAATGTGTCCCCTCATTTTGTAATAGTTAATTTACCCATTCACATAATGAAGCTACCTGCCCGATGAAGCCAGTGGCCTGTGACCCCTGAGCACTCAACACCGTGTGGGAGTCAGTTTGTGATCAATTTCTTTTATGAGACAAATACAAGCAAACGTTTCCATATGTTACAAAACATCCCGTAATTATTACATTAACCTTTCGTAAATTGAATTAAACAACAAGTTCAAAAGAAAAAGTTAATCGAAGAACTCAAACTGAATAAAAACGCTAAATAATTAAACCTCCAATCAAAATCATGAAAAGATTACCGTACAAACAACTACTGCATAACACTAATTGCAACAAATATGATGTTCTTTATGATACAATGTCTTTATTCGCTTTCTAAAGACTTTGGAAATATTGTCACAAGTAAGCATCATCACCGCATAGTGAATTTAATTAAACAAATCCTTTTAGGTAGGCCTACCAACTTATATAGTAAATCCGGGTGTTGCGTGACAAATGTAGATCAACGTCTTTAAAGAGGACATCATAGCTTGGTAGGAGCTCGTACCCGCAACCTTCATATGCTCAATCACGTATTTGAGGTACTCATTTAGGGCACCTCTTATAAGGACGTGGTGTTACTGCTTAGGCCTTAGGTTGAGTGACTAGAGACACCGGCTTGGTTTTGTGTTGGACCTACTGGAGCTGGAGCGACTCGGATCAACCTCATGCCAGGCTTAGCTGCACTTCCCTGACAAAACAAGATGGTAGATAACAAAACAAAAATGGTAGAAAACAAAACAAAATTGTAGATAACAAAACAAAATGGTAGAAAACATGAATAAAATAAAAAAAAAATATCTCCCCCCCCCCCTCCCCCGCCAAAAAAAAGAAGAAGAAGAAGAAGAGAGGTAGAAAGTAACCATATATGATTGCAATAAAAATAAAAATGCATATTATTAGATCCTGAATACTAAAACAATAATAATACTATAAAAGAACACGACACCTCTACACACGTTTGTTTGTGAATATAACAATTTTACATTTGAATGTAGCCAACATATTTTTTCATATGAATCAACCATACAATGCCAATTTTCACACATTCAATTTGGGGAGCAGCATTTCACTCGACAAACGCCTTTGTTAAACAAAACGTCGTTATTCATTCGCCCCGACAAAATCATGAAAGAAGTGGCATAAGACAATGTGGCCGTGTCATTTCAGTTAACATTGTACAAACAAAGATTCTCATACCAGCACAATAATAATTCACGCGAAAGATAACATTTCGAGGCTCATGAAAAACATAAATCAGACTAAAATTTTCCCAGTATTATTTCCCTCTTGCTAGCATCATCACGTATAACAGACGCCCCCCCCCCCCCAGAAAAAAATAAATGCAAATTATGTTCGATGCGCGATTTGTTAGAATCAGAATCGAGCGGTTACACACATGCGCGTACAAAAACACTTGGCAGATATATGCTATTATTGCAATAGAAAGAAAAAATATAATTATTGCATAATTAGATAAAGTGTAAAATTAAACTTCATTTACTTCAGTTGTTGAAACTGTACTGGGATTGGTGATCGAAGCCCTGCTTTCACGAGATTTGCGAACATGCTCTCTGATGGCGTTTCGAACCTGTTGTAATAATACAAAATCACAATAATTGATTTCATGTTAAAGCCTAAATCGGAAGCGCCATATCGTCTGCACTGTCTGTCTTGCCTGTTTCGAGGAGTTGCACATATTTACTGTAGACTATCGGACACTTGCAGTTTTGAAGAATTTCTTTCTTTAAATAGGCGGTTGGGAGATCAATATTCGAATATTATTTTTTATATAGCCTACTTATAATACAAAATCCACGATGAAATTAACTTGCCTTTATACACTAAACACGAATTACAAGCAGCATATTGTGGGGCGTAAGGTTTACACTTTTGCCTGTTGCATCATAGCTATCCTTTCTCTACGATACGGCCCATCTTTACTTCTTTACAGAGCAAACTCCCCGAAATAAAATTGTCTTGAATGTCTGATGCCAGCTATGATTTCATTACATACCTCCGAATTGAGAAAGCAATAGAGCCATGCGACGAAGAACCCCTGCAAGGATACAATAGAAATTATCTACGTTAGTACGATACATGCACAACCCTCAACTTAGATATGAACGTCTCGTAGTAGTAAAACAAAATTGAAAAATACAAGTAAAAATGTTGAAGACACATATGCACGTGCATGGTTAAAATCATATTTGAGTACTGATAAGACCATTATATTAAGAAGGCAGAAATTATCTAGGACATAATGTGCGTTGATTGCCTGTGAGGTTTTTGAAAATAACAAACGAAGAATTCTTGTCAGATGGAAAATCATTGCACACAAACATGGTACGGCACTACAGAAATTAGTAGGATCAAACTTTGGTCCAAAGATATGATATATTTAGTTATTTGAAATTTGATGTTTTTTCAAGAGAAATGACGTAAAATTATCAATATGATATTTTCCCTTATTATGAAAGAGTATGTTAAATATTTCAAATTATATCTTTTCACTTCTACAGAGTCTTAACCTTCTCTTTAAAGAAAGGTAGGATTATCTTCGTTTCATCGGCTCACTCTCTCTCTCTCTCTTTCTTTTATTTTTCATTTTGTTTACAATGGAAATCAAAATCATCATAACACTGACATCATAATGTTGGATTGCAACGTCAAGTTAGCACTGATATTAGAAGATTACCTGAAGAGAATTGAGCAGGTTGAAGGTGTATTCCAAAGCCTTGACGTGAGGGAAAACTGCCACTACAGGTGTCAATAGCCAAGCGATACCAAGCAGGGGGAAGAGCAACAAAGTGCTCCGAAGTCCAGCTCTGCAAAGCAGTGACAACGAGAATTAACACAGTGATTTTTTACAAACATATACAAAAACATTGGAACCCATATACACAACTATCCAAACCCAAACATACACACACATACCCAAACCCACACACACCTATCCAAAACCACACACACAAACACACGCGCGCACACGCACACACACACACACACACACAAAAAAAACGCGCACACACATACATACACACACGAACACGCACACACCCTTCCAAACCACACAAATCTACATACACACTCACATACATTCCTCAACCACTAATTAGTCGATAGCCAATGTATATCAAGCAATACGAGGAGAAACGGAGGGCTCCAAAGATCAGCTCTTAATAAATACAAAATGATTTGACAAAATTTACATGAAGAAAGAATTTGGAACTGAATATAGAGGCGTAAACCTGCGTTCATAATAAGTCATAAGTAAGTATACATAATGTACATGATTAACTCCGAAAAAAACAAACTTTCTGAACATTTACGTAATCGAGACAAAGGGTAAAGCAAGAACATATCGTAATTGAAAACATTTCTTAAAAAGTAATTAGGTTATTACTTGATTTGCTTGATCTTATCGTTGTCAACTTGACCTCGAGATGCAGACACAACTGTCTTTACAACCAGTAGGAGAATAACTACGTTGACCTAGAAGTGTAAAATAAATTAAACATTTTTGATAATTTTCCTGCTAATGATGAGATTCTAATCAATATATATATATTATCGCAGATACAAGGCAAGCTTCAAACGTTGACATTTCGGTAATAAGGAATTGTCGATCGTTCACTTGTTTTTCTTTTGCCGGCAATCATGCGTAGGATAACAAATGTTTTCAGATATCACGATGCGACGATATAAAAACGTAGGTCTTAACATTTAAGATAAGCATAAAATATGAAACTTAACGAGATTTATATTTCGATTAAATATATGCCTATTTTCCTTTGAAAAATCTGCTTTACTCACTGAGCAATAGGAGTTGCAATCAAACAGATATAACGAGCATTTGCAACAGTGAACTTCTATTTCATAATGTAAACTCATTTTTTCAAGTGCGCATTTGCAGTATTTCCATCGTTTGAATCTTACGTAGTATATATCAAAATACGGCAGATTTTTTATTTTTGAAAAGTTGCAGCTTGTGAATTGAAAGAGCTGCTTAGTTTCAATTGAGAGGAAAATTGTAGACTTTGTTTAAGAGTGCTGCTATTGTACAATTTAAAATGCAAAATTTGAACCATTATAAAAGGTGGTGTCAAACAACAAGATAATGCACAAAACACTACTCTAATCTTCTCATATCAGTATTTTGGAGGAAATTACCCAACTCGTCAGAAATGAGACATCAGACTAACATCCAGGCTTTCCAAGCTTCCGTAAGACCAAAAAAAAAAAAAAATTAAAACACCGCATACTAAAACCCCCCAAATAACAAATAAACAAATCGCACAATATTAATTACGAGTTTCTTACGAGTACGATTGCCATAGCCGGCCCGGTGAATGCCCAGATTGTCCCATCTGTTGGATTCAGCCAGCAACTGTATTTTAAATCCGATTGATAAAGATAAAACATTTACTTCAATTATGCAAAAATTTAAATTCATTGCATTAAATATTGGGTACCATTGCAAATATTTAACACTTGAACTATGATATTACAATGCAACTGATTTCCGTGGACTATCATATATATTGATAATGATAGTTTTTTAAATAAAATTATACTCACCTTTGTTCATAGCCATAGCTTTGATACTTTACGCCTCCAGTTATGATGAGTATCACGGCTGGACCACCTTCGAAAGAAGGAAATAGTATGATATATTGCAAATTAGAGTAGTGTTTTGATCATCAGCTGCGTGTAGCTAGACTGAGACTAAGACTGAAAGCTAAGAAATGTGATGTTGAAAATATCCCTTCTCAATTCGTAGTGGAAGTGAAGAACAAGTTTAAGCGGCTGTTGAGAAACGATGAAGCAGAGCAAACACCGAATGAGTTGTGGGATGACAGGAAGAGAGCAAAAGCAAAACACAAGCAAAACACAATAGTGGAGAATGGTCGAGACTCAATAAGGCAGTTACAAGTAGTGTGAAGGAGGACAACAGGAAATACATCGAGGGGAAGTGTGAAGACCTAGAGAGTCACAAGAACAACTCAAAGGCAGCATTTGTAATTGTGAAAGAAATCACAAAGAAAAGAATCCCAAGACTGGATGTAATTATTGATGACAATGGCAAAACATCGACGAAAAATTAAGACATGTTTGCTGCACAGAAACAAGTTGACACTCAGTGGGAGGAAAGTAATGAAATGGAGCCCCCTCCATTAAGATCAGAAATGGAGCTTGCAATGAAACAACTGAAGGATGGCAAATCCCCTGGCTTTGACAAGTTGACTTCCGAAATGTGGAAGGCTGCAGGTGAAGAAGGTACTGGCCTGATGTGGCGTCTCTGTTGCAATATATGGAATAGTAGGGAATGGCCTAAGGACTGGTGTACAGCTGTTTTTATACCATTGCCAAAGAAGGGAGATCTGAAAGAATGTGCAAATCACCGAACGATCAGCTTGATTTGTCATGCAAGCAAAATACTTCTTAAGGTATTTAGCAGAAGAATGAAAATCAAACTGCAAGCCGAGATCTCACATGAGCAAGCAGGGTTCCGTGAAGGTAGAGGGACAAGAGAACAGATCGTCAACATTAGAAACATAATAGAGAAATGCAGAGAACCCAGACATCCCTCTATTTGTGCTTTATAGATTATAACAAAGCAATTGACTGTGTGAGCCACTCTCAATTGTGGAATACAATGGTAAAGATGGGGTTCCCAAGTCAGATCATCGAAATAATCAAAAACCTCTATCATGACCAAGAAGCAACAATAAGAACCAGTAACGGCAATACGGAGTGGTTTGAAATTGGTATGAGAGTACGTCAAGGATGCATACTGTCTCCGAACCTTTTTAACACTTATTCTGAGGACATTATGAGAAATGCTCTGGAAGGATTCAATGGGGAGTCAAGTTTGGAGGTAAAAAGATCACGAATCTAAGGTATGCTGACGACACTACTCTCGTTTGCAGCAGCAGAGAAGAGCTGATGGATTTGTTGAATCGCATCAGACAGGCCAGTGAAGAGAAAGAGGTGTCATATGAAAGGGCAGAAACTCAATTTTTAGAAATGTACTTTTCTCTTTGAAATTCAGATACCGTCCGCCAAATGACTTTTTGTTTTCCTCTCTTCAAATTCATTTAAATCTATTATGCGTGAAATATGGATTATACGAGTTGCTTCAAATGAAAGAGGCGGATCTAAGCTTTACAAAGATGTGTCATTTATCAATTATAATTAAGTTTAGATAAAACATCGATAATTCTCGGTTTCGTTTTTTCTGGGACGCACTGTATAGGTTAAATTAAAGCCAAACTATATTACTTTAACAAGCCAATCACTGTAAAGATTGATCATTAGCTTAATATTAAGATTTGCCTCTAGCAGCGTTGTCTAATAAAACCGTCTTTCACCTGAACTCAGCCTACCGTAAAATGCCATTAAACAGATTTAATATCTGGATTGTACAGTGCGTCCCCAAAAAACGAAACCGAGAATTATCAATGTTTTATCATAAATTAATGACAATCATATTTATTAAAAGACACATATTTTTAAAGCTTAGATCCTACTCCTTCTTTTGATGCAACTCATATGATGCATATTTCACGCATGAGTGATTAAAACAATTGAAGAGAGGGTACCAAAAATATGTTTGTCGGGCGGTATCTGAATTTCAAAGAGAAAATCTAATTTCTAGAAAGTTCATTTTCTGCCTTTTAATATGACACCTCGATCAGGAGAAACGAGCAAGGAATAACAACGTTCGGTTTATTTAAAGTAATGCTTGCATTTCCATAATTTTATTAAACGAATTCGTTTTCACTGGCTGTCTGACGTAGCAACAACAGAGTAAACAAAGGACTTAACTCCGTTTCGTGGACGATCAGCCATGCATCAAATCTTTCGTTTTGTTTTTGCATGGCTGATCGTTAACGAAACGGAATTCAATTTGTAATGCAGAATGCAGTTTTTTTAATATTCAGAAATATGGCACCATATAAATGCTATGAGTGATTATCTTACCCCATCCTAAGATTCCATAAACCCAAGTTCGAGGATTACCAGAGTCAAAAACTTGGATGATCTGACGATAGAGGTGTACACCCTCGACGAGCATCCAAAACATCATTGCTAGGGAGAAGTAGTGCAGGATGAAGGCATATGCCTTGCATGCAGACTATGCAAGAGGTCCACAAAAATGATAAGATATTATATTATATAATGTTAAATGACATTTTTAATTGTTTAAGTCCTTTAATCATTTAAATAAACTAGAAAAAGACTGCAAGGAGAAATCATAAGGGCTGTAACGAAACCCATGGCCATGCGGCCCTGTCTTCAAGGAATGGTTGGGAGCAATATAGCGATGATAAAATGGACAAGTGTTTTTTACAAAAATGTATCCTATGTCATTGTGTATAGTTCTGTTAAGGCTTAGAAAAGTGTAACGTATAAACACTGATCCTAACAATTGAAATAACCTTTCTTGAGAGTTCACTTCTTAGCTTTGAATGGTTTCGTATCTATTGTTCAAATAGTGTAGAAGTGAAATTTCTAGGTTTGCTTTTAACCATTATTTTTATATTACCGTGACGAAAGATTATCCAATGAAAATATATTATTTGTTCAATATATAAATGTATTCATGTACATATATATATATGACTTTACATCTTGTATAAACAGCATATCTATATACATGTATAAACCTTAGTGCTAAATTAACAGTACATCATAAAAACTGGCATATTTCCCTAACCCTAATCATAACCTAACCCTAACCCTTAATTCAAAAAACAATATAACTAATCAAACTAATGAATATTAAATGAATGCACCTATTGTTTCTTGGGAGGCCTATATATGTCCTCTGCCTGCAAACGTGCTTTAAGAGAGGGCAGTAATTATATCGTTCAATCATAAACAGGACATGAAAATGTCCTGCTTTTGACCATGTCTATTTTAATAATGACTCATTTTTGTCATTACATAATATGTCCGTCTAATGACGCTGTAAGGTATATAATTATGTATATATACTGAACATATAAACAAATTACATGACATACATATTTTGCGTCGCGTTTTCGTTGTTGCCTTCCTTTAAAGGAATCAACTGCAAAGGTTTCAAAAACAGTCTCTGCCGGGAATCAAACCAAGGCCTTTTGGTTGCGTATGCCAAATCCTTTAATACAAGCTTTCTCAACTGGAGGCGCGTGCGCCACTTGTGGCGCTTGCAGTCAGTCGGAGTGGCGCGCGAATGTTCCAAATACAAAAATTAAAACAACGAATTTTGGAATTAAAAAGTCAACAAAATCAAAAAGACCCAGTCGAAGTTGAACCCCAAATGTCCGCTTAACAAACAGGAAAAATGGTTATTTAACCTTTTGTACTATATAGACTCTACGACTTTTAATTAACTTGAGCTCTAGACTCTAAACAATAAGCTTACAATGTGCTACCAATTTTA